GGTTTCGAGCCCCAGGACCCTCGCAGGTCGATCCGCCTCGAAAAATGCAGCAGACAGATGGAGCCTGGGGCTCTGGCAGTGCTTTTCGCGGTGTTGCAATATTCTGCAACGTCGGATCTCCACTGATCGGAAGGGACTGATGGGAAGGGCCTGATGTCGAAGAAGAAAGACGGCATAAACATAAACTTTTGGCGCTCCGCGCGGATTTCTTGGATCTGCGCCGGCGCCCCTTCCCTGGCGCACGGAGCGAGCCAGGGGCGGCGCTGGAGTCGCCAGAGGCGCCGCCGGGGGGGGCTGGTCAGCGCGGATCCAAGAAATCCGCGCGGAGCGCCCAAAGTTTATGTTTATGGCGTTGTGTTTATCTTCGATGATGGGAAGGAGCTGCCAGCTTCCCAACGGATGGACAGGGACTCCGCGATGCGGCAGCTGGCCGCGGCGGAACCTGAGGAGGCCAGGGGGCAGAAGGAGGAGGCCAGGGGGCTCGGCAGCACTGTGGCGCGAATGCGCCGGCACACCCAAATAGGGCGACGAGATCTACATATATCCACTGCCCCTGGCCAGGACCATCATGGCCCCAGGAGCGGTGTGTATATCGCAGGTGAGGGGGTGAGATCGAAGTGGAACGGAGAGCCCCCCTACCGGGAAATCGGTTTCGGTTTCGTGTTCGTGCGTGCCGTGCGTGCGGGCGAGGCGAAACTGCGTGGGCGGGCGAAAAGAAAGCCTCCTCCGGCTGAGGCGCGGCCGGACCAAATGATTCCTGACCGGGGGCCAGTGGGGCGCGGTGTCCCGCCGGTGTCCCGCCTCCGGCTGAGGCGCGGCCGGACCAAATGATTCCTGACCATGGGCTGGTGGCGCGCGGTGTCCCGCCGGTGTCCCGCCGGTGTCCCGCCGGTGTCACGATGATGATGATGATGATGATGATGATGATGATGATGATGATGATGATGATGATGATGATGATGATGATGATGATGATGATGATGATGATGATGATGATGATGATGATGATGATGATGATGTCGATGATGATGATGATGATGATGGTGGTGACGATGATAGTGTCCCGATTGTGATGATGATGATGATGACGATGTTGATGATGATGATGACGATGTTGATGATGATGATGATGATGGTGATGATGATGGTGTCCCGATGATGATGATGTTGATGATGATGCTGATGCTGACGATGATGATGGTGTCCCGATGATGATGATGATGTTGATGAACATGATGATGTTCATGATAATGAGATGATGATCATCTGATGATGATGATGATGATGAGGATGATGATGATGATGGTGCCCCGATGATGATGATGATGATGATGAGGATGATGATGAGGTTGATGATGATGATGTTGATGATGATGGTGATGATGATGATGGTGTCCCGATGATGATGCTGGGTTTGATGATGATGACGATGATGGTGTCCCGATAATGATGATGATGATGATGTTGATGATGAGGACGATGATGTGATGATGCTGATTTTGATGATGGTGGCCCGATGATGGTGATGATGATGCTGATGTTAATGATGGTGATGATGGTGACCCGATGATGATGATGATGACGATGATGGTGATGATGCTGATGGTGACGATGATGATGGTGTCCCGATGATGATGATGATGATGATGATGATGATGATGATGATGATGATGATGATGATGATGATGATGATGATGTTGATCAAGATGATGTTGCTGATGATGATGATAATGTCCCGATGATGATGATGATGATGATGATGATGATGATGATGATGATGATGTTGTTCATGATGGTGATGGTGAGATGATGCTGATGGTGGTGCTCCGATGATGATGATGGTGTCCCGATGGTAATGATGTTGATGATGATGATGATGATGATGATGATGATGATGATGGTGACGATGATGGTGCCCCGATGATAATGATGGTGGTGGTGATGATGATGTTGATGATGATGATGATGATGATGGTGATGGTGTCCCGATGTTGATGATGATGATGACGTTGATGGCGTTGATGATGATGATGTTGATGATGATGACGTTGATTGTGAGATCGATTGTGATATCGATAGTGAGATCGATTATGAGACCGAATATGATATCGATTGTGAGATCGATGGTGAGATCGATAGTGAGATCGATTGTGAGATCGATAGTCAGATCGATTGTGAGATCGATCGAATGAAATAAATCGAATGAGATCGAGTGTGAGATGAGTGAGATCGATTGTGAGATCGATCGAGCGAGACAGATAGTCAGATCGATAGTGAGATCCATAGTGAGACCGATCGAGTGAGACGTTGGTTCCTCCCCCCCCCCCCCCCAAACCTCCTTATCACCCGAATGGTGGTCGTATAGGAAGTATATGCCTCCCTGGCCAAGCCAGGAGGGCGTATACACTGCTCCTGGGCCCAGGATGGTCCTGTCCTCCTCCTCCTCCTCATCCTCCTCCTCCGCATCATCATCATCCTCCTCCGCCTCCTCTCCTCCTCC